GCGCCCCGGCGGGCCCGGCCCCGCGGCCGTGGAGGAGCGGCTGCTGCAGGCTCTGGGGGGGCTGAGCCTGGGGCCCCCGCGGGGCGGCGGGCGGCTGGTGCTGCTGCGGGGGCTGCCGGGCGCCGGCAAGAGCACCCTGGCCAGGTAAGCGTGTCCCGGACCCGGGCTCCGGGGCAGGAGCAGCGGCCGGGACAAGCGGGGCAGTGCTTCGGGAGCCCATGTGCCCGCCCGGCACTCGCTGCAGACCCGCCGGGGCAGGGCTGGGGTCGGGGGGAGCGGGAGCCCCGAGGGAGCCTTGGCTGATCGCAGCCGCCCGGAGGCCCCCGGCTCCAGGCACACTCCAGGCTGCGCTGTCCCCGGCACCTGTGGCCGTGTGTGGGTGTCCTGCCCGTGGGACTGTGCGAGCTCCAGTTCCAAGCGAGCGGTACCTGCAGCGATGCTTCTGCTGGGATGGACTGATCACCCCGACCAGGGCGGTACTTGTTCCTTTTCTCAAAGGCGCCAAATTGGTGGTGTCTTTCCTTTTTCTTTTTTAAATTTTATTTTTTGGTTGATTGGTTTGGCTTGGTTGGATTGGGGTTTTTTGTTGATTTGGGTTTTTTTTTTTTTTTTTTGTGTTTAATCTGTAACATGGTAAAAAAACTTCCTCTCTCTGGCTGAAAATTGGCAACTCTGACTTCTGCTTTTGTCCTGCACTCCTGGTGAGAGCTTTAGCAGTGTATAAAATGAGTAGAGGAGACCACTCCATGCTCCAGTCACTCAAAGGCTGATTGTAAATAGATAGAAAAACACAGTGGGTAGTGCTGGGAAGTAGCACCACGGTCGGTGTGACCATGGGAGCCGTAGTTTGGTGTCACAAAATCTCAAGAGTCTGGTATCACACAGCTTCCAGTGCCACCCACTCTCTATCGAAAGAGGAACGTTCCCTGTCTTCTTACTCTGCTGGGCTGAGGAACCCGTGCTGGGATCATGGGCTGCCACAGAAGGGCTCTGCTGTGAGAGGTGGCAGCACGAAGCTGTGTGATACACAGGGTTCATCTACAGTTTCCTTTTCTCAGTGCAACACTTCCTGTCCCACTGGGCCTTCTGCCTCACTGCACTTTGGCAAAGTTCTTTATGAATTGCCAAATGCCATGTTTTGCTCACGCCCAAGAAACACACATCTCCCTTAAGAGGCCCTGTAAGGGTAGGCCTGCTCCTTCGGGGGAATTTGGGTCTTCTCATGGCACAGTAAGAACATATAGGTTTGGGGGCATATTCTCAGGCAGTGCAAGTAACTGTACTTACCTGTACTTTTTAGGTCAAAACACAAGGTTAACTGTTAATGGCATATTTACAAAATGAGTTGCAGGTATTGTTGTAGTAGTCCTCTGAGATGGAGGTTTGAGTATCTTACTGTTTATAGCCCCTCTTAATTGCATCATTGTGTTTAGCTGTTCAGCAACACACAGATCAAAAGGCAGCATTTAGTACCTCTCCTTTAACCCTGTCCAGCTTGTGAAGGACTGTACCAAGAGAATTCTTTTGCTGTTCTCACACTGCATACCTTTTAGTATTGGTAAATGCTATGTGCTGCACAAGGGAAAGTTTGCAAAAAATGTCTGCAACAGATCTCAGTGCAAGATCCCACTGGAGGAGGAAGGTGGTTGTTTATTTGCAAAAGTACTCTGTAAGCTCATTTTATAAATTCAAGTTTATTTTCTCAGATTTTATCCACTCACAATATCACAACTTAATACTTGTAGGCATCAAGATGAATGTGCACAGGTGGTCTGCCCAAAATCAGAGCAGACGAGGTCTGTAAGGTGTTCCATCCTCATTTTCTCTGCTGGGTTGCTCTCAGTTGGTGGTGACAGGGTAGGTTTTGGCCAGGTCTCCTGTGCCATCTCCAGCCAACAGCTCCTATAATGCCATTTTTTTTTTTGCCTGTGAATTCTACTTGCTTGGTGCTTTGTGAATCTTAGGTGGGTTTTTTCCCCCATTATATTAATTTTCCCATATTGGGTGTCTTCATCATCTGCCCCTCTGGAACAAGGGGAAGGAAGCAGGTGTGGAGAGGCTGGTGTGACCTGCTGGCTATCCTCCTGCTCTCAGAGCACAGGTTTTCCTGTGCAGGTCACCAGTGCTGGGCCTCAGCTGAGTGCTGGCCTTGGGGGCTGTAAACAGGACCTGTCCCAGTTTTATTGATGTTAAGGATCTTGGCTGTCAGTGGGTACCATTGTTTGAGCCTTTGCTCTGTTCTTTCTTCAGGTACTTTCACACATATCTACATTAATTATTTCGGCAGATCAGCCAGTATTTCTGTGTTTCTGTCACAAACTCTGCATCTTTAGTGTGCTCATGAGTCACAAACCATGAATGCTATCACTGGTGATGCAGCAACTCAGTGATAACTCCAGTCAAAAGGCCCCTTTTCTATTCATCACACAGTCCTAGGAACAACCTTGGATCCATGGCTTATTTCCCTGACCTTTCAATGTCACTCAGCAGAGTTTGGATACAGCTTTGTAAGCTTTAGTTATGGCACTTTTGTTAAATTTATTTCCTCCTCCTGGTTGCTCCCAGCTCAGAGCAGCCCTACACTGGCATGGACCAGTTTGGATCTGGTTTTTGGTTTCTGGTAAAGACAGGGAGGATCCACATGATATATTGAGTAGCCAAGCCAGGATGAGGAGTTGGTCTGCTCACCACCAAGCTTCACACCTTTCCAGCAGCTTCACTGTTAAGGATGAGCTTCCCTGAGCCAAGTATTTTAGGTGGCCCCAGCTACCTGCCTTTAACCATTCACCAAATGTCACGGAAGTGTGAAGGGGCAGTTGGGAGTCACATCTCCATCAGCCTCCTTCAGGCGTGCTGGACATGTTCCTGAACACGTTTTCCTTGACTTCACAGTGCAGGTTTGTGATTACACTGAGGCAACTGCTAAGAAAAAGGTTATCTGAGGTGCAGTGGCAGCTGTACTTCCGAAAATGCCTCCAGAATTTAAGTGAGCCACATTCAAGTTGATACCTGCTTCCCCAGAATCTCTTCATTGCACAGTGTCTGCATTTCCCTCTTCAGCAGCACATTGCTGTGCTGCACAGCTCAGCTTACACCTAACCCTTTATCCAACAGTTTAACTCAAGCTCTATAGGCTGGGCATGATCAAACTTGTAAATTTTCAGCCACAGCTGTTGATTTGTAGCTTGTTCTTGTACTCCCTTGTGAAGCACAGAGCGAGTAATCTTTCAGAACAGGAGGGGAAAAATGCACTGGCACTGAGGCATCACTGCTTCGTACAATCTGTGTCTTCTCCAGTTCTCTCTGCTGTTGCCCGGTTTATCCCAGCACATCCAGTCCTGGGCCAGCTGTTCCCAGCGTTCCCAGCACCCAACCCCGCTGCAGCACTGCAGCTCTGGCGGGTTCATGGACTTCAGCTCTTGCAGCTCCTGCCTCCACGCAGCATTGCACTGTAAACATTTTCGTGAAACCACTTCAGGTGAGTCTCCTGAGTGCCTTGATCAAATAGGACACCAGCATGGTGCTTTAGGAAACAGAGCTGTGGTTGAATCCCCGGGGGTGAGACACAAGGGCACGGCTGTGCTCTGCCAGCAGCACCTGGCAGCTCGGCCAGGCAAAACCCTCAAGGCACCGGGAGCTGTTCAAACGCAATAGACAGTGGCAAGCGTTGGGCACATGCTCCAGATCTCACAGTCCTGCTTTCCTGCTGGAACAAAAGGCTTTTAAACACCTTTGAAATGCTACAGGACACTTAACCTTTGGAAAAGTGGCCAGAGGAAGTGGTTGCGTGTGATGCCAGTACATACATGTTCTGGTCTCTGATATTCCATTCTGCGGCCTTCTGAGCACTGAAAATGTTTATTCCAATCTGCTATCAGAAATTAATTTATTTTCAAGTTTTCTGATGGAAAAGTATGAAAACCTTGGACACAAAATGCATTGTGCTCTACCCTTTCCTAAAGAAATGTTTGCTGCTGTTTCAGAAACTACAGAGGATAAGAAAGTAAGAAGAGAATGAGGGATGTTTCTTCTGCTTAAAAGAAACCTCCTTAAACCCTTTTCTCCACACCCCTCTGCAAGGTGAAGGAGGTACCGTATCCACTGCAAGATGAAGACCTGTAGACAATTATGTGTCCAAAACAAGTTAATACTGAACCTTTCACAGATGCTGCCTGTCACAATGCAGTGCTTCCAGTTCAGTGGCTTCTTTAAAAAATGCAGACATCGCTCCTATGTGTCCTTTGATCTTGCAAAGAGATTGCATTTTTCTTTTCCTACTTAGTAAACTTTACACTTACTGATCCATCAGCAG